CTTCCTCTCCATCTTCCAATCACTGCGGTCATTGATGGAGCTCACTTTGGGACAGTTACCCTAATGATCACACACACACGCACACACACACGCGCGCGCGCGAACGTACACACACAGGCCCGCGATCCCGGGCATGCAGCAGACGTGTTTATGATTAGTCAATTCAGGTTGTTTAGACAATTAAGGTTGGAGAGATGATCCCGTAGACCTCAACACACTTTCACTCCCCCACACACACACACAGGCCAGCGATCCAGCTTGTGCAGCAGACGTGTTTATGATTAGTCAATTAAGACAATTAAGGATGAAAGAGACCTGCTTTTGTTCTTATAAGCCTCCTCTCTCTCTCTCTCTCTCTCTCTCTCTCTCTCTCTCTCTCTCTGTCTCTCTCTTTCTCTCAGCAACACACATACACTCACCTGCGTGCCCATGCGTGCACGCACACACGTGCCCCACGTGGACCTTCCGCGCTTGAGCAGAGTGCGCACACACTCGCACGCATAGTAAACAACACTTAGACACTGATTTTGCGGACTTCAAAAATAAAAAATTGTTATTAATATTTTTTTTTTCATGAATATTTGAAAAAATCAGCGATGCACCAAAGCCGCGATAAACGAAAGAGGGATCACTGTAATCATTAATTTGGAATTTTATGGCCGCAACACACTCTAAAAAACGCTGGAACGGGGTCATGTTTACCACCGTGTTACATTACATTTTCTTTTAACAACATTAGGAATTGAGGACAGTCATTGTTGAAGCTTTGTAGATGTGATTCTGTCCCATTCTTGCTTGATGTACTTGACCTTCACGTAATTCGATCGATCTTTTAGACATCTCACACTCCGATTGTGTTCACGCGAGCTCGCTAAAATTGAAATGTAGTCACGCGAGCTGTTGGCCACAGAGTGCCACCATGTAGCTGAGCACCTGGCCACACATGAAAATCCGGGTCGGAGATGTAAAATAGGGGATTATACTGTTCATGTTGCATGAAAAAAAATCTGATCCATGTGACATATGGGCAGAATAAATCAGAATTATCTTGGGGCGTGAACATAGCCTTCTCGTGTATTTCTTGTTTATGTCTATTGCAGTTTTCTGAGGGTAAAAAAGGCAAGAACAAAGAATTTACAAACTTACATTACCTCTAAAATGTCCGGTCCGAATCATTTTCTCTACAGATTGTGTTATACAGTAAAATCAAACATCGAAGATATTTGAATTATTTTTCCGCTTCAATTTCTGCTTCAGTGTCAATGGGCCAACCTCTCATTTAATTTGTTTCATGAATCATTACAGAATGTCGCCCGCCAAACACACGCCCGCCCACTCGATCCCACCTCACGCTCTGATGCAGCTGGCAAAGGCATGGCTTGCCGAGGACACACCAAACTTTGATCCCGCAGGAGTGTGTGTGGGGTCACAGGAGGTGGAGGCAAGGTTGTTGTGTAAAAGCCCACACAGTATCTTGGCAGGAAGTCCCTTCTTTACAGCGGTATTCACCGAGGCCGGCTGTAACGTGGATTGGATTTACCAGGATGGAGATGAAATTGGTCAGTATTGAATCTTATCAGATTATCAAATAAAATAAAAAAATCAAAAGTCGATTCACTTTGAGCTCCAAATGGGTATAAAGTGAAGTATTTTCATACACAAACCTTGAAGAAAAGAAGACACATGCACAACAACTCTGAGCATGCAGTACATTCAAAGGTCAATGGCAGTCTGTTCTAAGAAGCTGATCGACCTCCGACTTGTTATTATTTAGAAAACATATAACAGTGATTCTCAATTGGGGGTATCCGTACCCCTGGGATACTCTATGGAACACTCTAAATTGTGCCCGGTGTGATTGAGAGTGAATAGTTGTTTGTGTGCCCTGCGATTGCCTGACAACAAGTGCATGGTGTCTCCGTCCTGCTGCCTGAAGACAGCTGGCTCTTTTTTTGATGTAAATAAAATTGTTTTCTGACTTATTGCCAGTTCCCCACTAAAAAAATGACACAAACACCATTACTTTGTGATATAATGGATGAGGGGGAGAAGGCGAAACTTTGGCCTCCCAGCCCAAATGCTTTCCACTCACATGAGGATGATGTTCTGTAGTTGTTTGACATTGGAGCTTGGTACTAACTGTAGTTCATTTGCAATTGAAAGAGGAGATTTGGTTTGGAGAACCACAGTTGAATACAACTCAAAGTAATAATATTGGCCGATCCCGTGTTTGACTCATTGTGGGAAGGCCAATATGCTCTCCCTAGACTGTTCTATCCTTACATACATTCTGTGCATCACATAGATGGATATACATGTAATGGCAAGAAAACATCGTTAGCATGATCATAAAAATACTTGTGGACCTAACTGTATAATATTGATTGTGAACCATAGGTGCAGATCCTGTCACACTTATTGCTGTGGTGCGAGGCCCAGCCAGATCCCTTCTCCTGGGTGAAAGGCCAGCTCTAAATTGTCTTTCCCGGGCCTCAGGGATCGCCACCCGATGTTTTCAACTCCGGAAAATGGCAAGAGCAGGAGGATGGCATGGAGAAGTGGCAGGCACACGTAAAACAACACCGGGCTTCCGCCTGGTGGAGAAGTATGCTATGCTGGTGGGTGATGTGTCCATGCACAGGCAGGACTTGAGTGGAATGGTAATGCTGAAGGACAACCATGTCTGGGCTTCAGGGAACATTGCAGAGGTGCGCATGCTACATTAGTGATGAATCCATAATGGTGCCACTTTGCCCCTAAAATTTCAGACAGTGCAAGTAAAATTTTCATCCATCCCCCCCTGGCCCCTGACTCTATTCAGGGTCATGGGGGGATGGAGCCTATCTCAGCTGACTTTGGGTGTGAAAGGCACACTGTCCCCTAGACTGGTCGCCTGACAGCAATTGATGAATTTCCTCTAAGTAGACGTTGACCTGATGTTCTACAGTCCTCACTGTTCTTGACTGGGATTGAAGGATATAGCTGATAGCCAGCATCATGAAATGTTTACAATTTAAAAACATTTGTTGTCAAAATTTGACATTGACCATTATTTCAAGAAGGTGACAATTTTTGAGATTATCCAATTGAAATCCATTTTAATTGATGGTATTTTTTTCCTATGCTTACTATTATGGAAGAAAGTATATTGACTCAGTGATTTTCTAAAAGTACATTTGCTTTGAATAAAAGGTCAGAGGCTTGATAAGCTGCAACTTGACTTTGTTTTGTTTTTCTGTAAAATTTTGTAGTGACTGTTTTTTTTTGTTTGTTTGTTTGTTTTTGACTGAACGTAATTGATGAAAAATCAATCAATCAATCGGTGATGTTCTGCTCTCCAGGCTGTGAAAGCTGCCAGGGCAATATGTGGATTCAGCAGTAAGATTGAAGTGGAGTGTGGCTCCTCACAAGAAGCCATGGAAGCAGCCACGGCAGGAGCAGATATTGTTATGCTTGATAATTTCCAGCCACAGGTACACAAAATGTCATGACACAACTTGCAATATTTTCCTTGCAAAGGTCAACCTCAAACAATATAATATACTACAGGCGCTCCATGTTGCAGCTGCTGCTCTGAAGCAAGAATTCCAAGCTCTGCTGATAGAAGCCAGTGGAGGAGTGACACCAGAAAACCTAGCAGAGTATTTCTCTCCATGCGTGGACATCATCTCCCTGGGCTGTATTACTCAAGGGTGCCCGGTTGTGGATTTCTCCTTAAAGGTTCAAAAGCCTGTTTCTTAGTCAGACCTCTGTGAAGGATCGGCACCAATATGTATTGTACATTCACCAAAATTGAATTTCATTCTACATACTTACATTAAAGATAGGTCACAGATAAGAAATTATCAGAGACGTATTATGCCAGGAAAAACAAAAGCCTACTTAGAAGAGCCAACATTTTTTTCGGATTTAATCCGAGAAGCTTTAACTGGTAACAGATGTGTGCTGATATACAACCATCCTGGTTTTGTTTTTTCGATCGCATTTGGTTTTATTTCATGTTTTATCTTGTTTCCTCGAGTGCCATTTTTTATGCCTTCCTCGTTAGGTTTTATTTCCACCTGTTCTGGTCATCGTGTCAACCAATCAGCTCCCTCCTATTTGTGTCTTGTCCAAGTGTGCCTTGTTGTCTCATCAGTTTACAGTGGTACCACTAGTTACGAATGTCTCTTGAAATGAAATTTTCAAGTTACGAAACGCCTCAACAAGAAAATATTGCCTCTTGTTACGAAAGAAATTTCAAGACATGAAAGGTAAAAATACAGTGTGGGCTGCTAGTCGCAGCTCCAAGTTTCCTGAACGCAACATACTTATAGCTGATCTGCCATTGGCTATTACCGAGCATCTTCCTGGCATCCCATTGGCTAAGAGGGACCTCGACCGAATGTGTCTATGTGTGTAGATCGATAAATAGATAGACGTATCTATGCGGCGTCCTCGTCACTCTCCCCTCGGTCCATGAGGCATTCCGTTAGTTTTACGTAAATGTGAATCACCCAGAAAAAGTGTTCACCAGTCCGGCGATCGCTCACTTTGCTGATGTTTGCCTTGGACATTTTCAAAGGATTGTTAAAAGTCGACAAAAGCAAACGTCTTTGCATCAGTTCTTTACAAAACGCCAGGCAAAACCCGCTTCTGAGAGATAATATCAAATAAAGAGGGCAAAAAACCCCGACTAGGACGCAGTTAAAAGTTAAATGACCATCATTCTTATTCTTTACTCTGTTCTTTGTTTTTTACATTTTGCACAACTCTCATTTATTGTGCAATAATCTAATTGTAAAATGTATTACATATTTTGATGCATTTTTATGCTTGAAGCCCGCAAAATGAGTAAAAAAGCTGCTTGGAGATCGCAAATGACGGCGGCCTTAAAAGTACGTTCAAGACAACTGGATTAAAGTTATGGCTGAATACTCTGAGATGGCCACAATAGCACTGTTGCTATTTCCGACATCCTACCTGTGTGAGGCGGGGGGTTTCTGCAGCAACGGAGACGAAAGCAAAATTACGAAGTAGACTGGACATAAACCACACACTTGAGGTGTCATTGTCTCCTATTACCCCGAGATGGGACTGATTGCTGAAAATCAAGCTCGGGGCTGTGGTGAGTCGTCATTTTCATGCACTTTGAATTTGCGTTGTATCGTATTTTGAAGGCATTAAACATTACCAGAGCGATAAGAGTGTTGCGACCAGATTAGACGCTCCTTGTGTTTATTATAATATTTTGAAAACACCACAGTTTTCATGCAGCTCATACCATATTATTTTGTTGTATTAATCCGCCACGCCTTAAATGCCGGTCCCTGAAAATATTGTCTGACTTAAACCGGTCCGTGGGGCAAAAAAGGTTGGGGACCCCTGCTTTAGAAAACATTTATGTCTGAATTTTGGGGTCTTGGAACAGATTAGGGCATTTACATGGAAAATGAGTCTCTACTTACAAAACTTTCTAGTTAAGAAATTTCTTCCAGAACCAATTAATTTCCTAAGTAGCGGTACCACTGTACTTGCATTTATATAGCATTCAAGGAAGATGGGGAAACTTATTCCCGCTCTGATTGTCTCAGTTCTGACCTCAAAGCTTCTTGGTTAATGTTTTGTAAACAACAGAGATGGCTGATTCTGATAAATTGCTGTTCTGATTCATCACAACACATGTTGACCGCAGCAAACCCTCTTCATAATTGATATCAATAAAGGACTATCTTATCTCCAAAGCACTTCATTCATTTCGCCAATTGCCCTCATGCAGCGAGGTAACAACATCACTTCACACAGTCAGTACAGGTTGTGTTCATGAACTTATTTTATTTTGAATAACTACATTCATGTGATAATAAACAAGGATAGATGAATATATGTGTATAATCTTGTAGATTGAATTTTGCCATTCATGGTCTGTGTCTCCATGAGGATTGGCATTGTCGAGTGACATCATATTGAAGCTGGTTGGTGAAGTTTTTTTTTTTTTTTCAAATTTGCTTCTTGGACCTCCCAGTTCAAAGGGGCGTTCCAGTGCACTTTTCCTGGTCGGAAGTCGGAAAAGTCTTCCAACCTTTCTCGAATTCAGCATTCGTTCCCTGCTGTTGTTCAGTCTTTGTCAGATTGTTTTGTTTGCTGTTCATGATGGTTGTCACATATCTATGTTCTAGTTAGTTTTCTGTGATTGTTTAATACTTTGGCTTGGGTTTATTTGGACTTCTTTTAATTTTGTATTTTTGATTCTGCTTTTATGCCTTATTTCTACAAAAACATTTTGTTTTGAGTTCATTCTGCCTTGTCTCCATGCATTTGGGTCTAACTTTTTGCCACCACCACAACAACCCGCAACATTTAGAGTGTGTAAGATTCTTCACAAAGTATATTTGCCTAAGTCATTTTTGGACCAAATTGTGATACCTTCCACTGCTGCTACATCCTGCCGTTCTTCATTCTTATTAGAATCCCAAAGTACTAGTCATCATCAAGTCATCTCTTTGACTTACGCAATTTTGATGCTACTCACAAAATGGCAGAAAACATGAGAAAGACGGCTCGGCTGTCCACAAGTAAAGCATAAACTCTTCTTTATGATTCATTTTCATCTGGTAAGAGTTCATGTTTTTTTAGATTCCCAAACACTAAACATAATTTCACTCAATTAATTGAAATCTGAATGTATCTAACCTTTAAACCACATTTTTTGCTTGCAAGTAGCTAGCAAAGACTGACAAACAACATTGATTTTTCTTAAGGGGAACGTCTGGCTGTGATAGGCCATTTTTCATTCAAAAACTGATGTATTTTTTGATCAGGAAAATGAATATTTAATTTTTCACTTTTTTGTATTTTCAATACTGAACTACTCTCAAAACACCCCTTTTCAAGACATTTTCATCATTTTCTCAAGGGCTCCAACAATTTATTTCTTGTACAACCATTTCTGCAAGATTCGCTCTTTGTAAATTTTAGAGTTTTTAATAGTGTTTAACATTTTGTACAATTACGAAAGGATATCGACAGTTCATTGCTCATTGGCTAAAGGGAATAAACAGAAACTGAAAACTCGTTGTTCATGTTTGTTCAATTCTTCCAGTTCTCAAGTCTGACATGCAAAAGAGGAAGACCATTTCACAGGATGTGATTCTGCCATGCAGAAGTCACAGACATACAAAGTGAAAGTGCGACCAAAGAGCAGAAACAAATTATAATTAGGTGGCTTTGTAGATATTGTTTGTTTTTTTAAAACACAATTTATGTTGGTTTGTGTCCTTTGACATACTCTTTATGTACCGGTAACTGAACATTGCCGAGTGCTGTGGTAATGAAAGTCTGTCAGAGTTCTACCCAAAAGTGTCACAACCACCTGTTAAGGAAACGCCTTAGGTCGGAAGGATTGCACAGACACGGGCCCCAGACTGCGCCTTGTCTTTTCTATGAAGAAGTGCAACAAGAAAGATGAGTGTTATGCTTCGCCTCTTCCTGTTCATGTGGGTTGTTGGTAAGTTATTTTCTTTTTGAGTTTTGGTGTATATCAGAGGCGTCCAAATGTTTTCCTTTGCGGGCAGCATGAAGAAAAGAAGCAAAAGAAGAAAGAAACCAGGAAAACATTTTTGTTTCAGATTTTTTATTCTCCATTGTGAAATTCTGTGCCTCGTTGCGCTGTTAATTTGTGTCTTTGCATCTATAGAAAAGTTTATTAGTCATGGTAGTCGCATTACCTACATCTCCCCCCACTTTATCGACAACTACACTTCTAACGCTGCCCACTCCCACTTTTTAATTTTTTTTTTAATAGCATTGCAGGCCATGTCAAATGTTATTTTTAGTACAGTATATGTCGCAGGTGGCTATAAAATGGACAATGGGCTGAAAATGGCTATAGTTTGGGCACTACTGATGTATGCACTCACTATTTCAAGGTTAGCAGTAAATGTCTATAACTTCATCAGCTGTGCAACCCATACCTTTTTTTTATATCAGTAATAGCACTAACTCAAGTTATACAGTACACTTTTGTATCTGTGCTGCTTGGAACACATGGAACCACTGTGTAGATCTCTTCATTTTAGACTAGATAAAAACATTATCAATTGATCAGAAAAAAGAGGAAAGGGAGAATAAAGTACACTCATAAGAAGTTGTCAGCGCAAGTGGTGAGTAAATGTAACACAGGAAATGTGAATGAATTCATCTCTCAACGCAGGTTTAGGATTGTCACTATTTGGTAAGAGCCTGGTAGTGAGCTCTAAATGCATCCAGAGACGGATGAATGACCTGCAAAGTGAGAGAAGGATTGAGTTCAGTGCTTGCATTGACAGGGGTCTGAAGAAAACGCGGAGAGATGGTGAATACTGCACATGTAGATCCCATAACCTTCTTCATTTGCGACCGGCCATGTATAAAACCATGCATGATGATGTCATGACTGTTCCGGCCTAATACTGTTGCAAAGTGAAAATAAATTGTTTTTTTGTCAGCATAAGCACTCTTATTTTTTCCATAATGGATTCCCACTTAGTCTGGGCCATAAACCACCAAATCAACAGGACAATTCCAGCACACTTAATGTAGCCAATGGCGTTAAGCAATGTGTAGGAATAATCAGATACCAAATTAGACAGAGATATATTGAATGTCAGATTCTTGAATGTGAAGCAGTTTGAGTAACATTGTTATGTATGAAAAAAGCCTCGACATATAAAGTTTGATTGATTGATATTCAAAAGCAGAACTTGCTCTCTTTTACTTAAAAGTACCCAGCGGCCTGATAAGCTTGACTTATTTCATCCATAGCTACATTTGAAATGGTAAATATGGTTAAGTATTGTTGTAAAACACATTCCATGTGACTTAAGGCATCCCATTCAACCTTACTTGTCCAGTTGAGTATGCATCTCAGGTGGTAATCGCTCACTGCAGCGCAGCAGACCATAGAGAGAAAGATGAAAGAGCGGGGGAGAAAGACTGACAGTGCCATGCCATGATCTTCACAGAAGCGACGGCAATGGTTGTCTCCAACTTAATAAGTGACATATAGCTACAAGCCGTATCCTTAATGTACCAAAAAATAAAAGGCTCAAGACACCCGCGAGCACCATGAGCATTCAAACAGCGACTCTGGAGCGTGCGCATGCTCATCTCTTTCTGCAGATTTTGTCCATTAAATCCATTGTCCAGTGAATCGAGGCTGCACTGCAAACGTGAAAGGCCATTATGAGACAAAACTGACGTAAAGGTTTTGAGCAAACCTAAATTCTAAACCAGGGGTGTCAAACATACGGCCCGCGGGCCGGATCCGGCCCGCAAAGGAGTTTAATCAGGCCCGCGAGATGATTATATAAAGCATGGTGTCAAACATACGGCCCGCGGGCCGGAACCGGCCCGCAAGGAGGTTCAATTAGGCCCGCAGGATAATTTAAAAGTGAAAAAAATGCATTAAAGACAGAATTAATATTTTTAATAAGGTGCAATTCATTGAGTATCCGCAAGGGGACACTGTTTTGATCAGAGAAGAAGACAACAGCAGCCTCAGTCCGTCACTGTGACAGACCCATGACAGCAGACGCTATCAATAGCACTCTCACATTTACACATTTAATAGCACTCTCCTTAGTTTGTAAGATTACATTTAGATTTTATATGCACGTGTAAATGGTTTAAAACTTCCTTTCTTTATGAATCTCGTTTAATCTTAAAGTGCATTACTATATTTTTCAATACCAATTACTTGTTAATGTTTGTACAATCAGTGGGATCATTTGCAATGCATATATGTGAATGATAAAAGTAAATTGCACATTTGTCGAAGGAAATGTAAGGTGCTTCATGAAATATTTTGTAAAAGATATGTTCATTAAATTTTAACATTTTCCTAATGTTCTTGTGCTTCTTTATACCAAAACAAAGGAAAGACATTGTTTTGGTTATTTATAGCAAAGTATGGTATCATTTTAATGGTCCGGCCCACTTGACATCTACCGAGGCCGTATGTGGCCCACCATGTGAAATGAGTTTGACACCCCTGTTCTAAACTGTCAAGTAAAATGTCCTTGCTTGTTTGATTCGTTACTGTTTTGTCCCGATTCTTAATAGAAAAGGGGAAAGTCCTTTTTTTTTTTTTACTTGCTTTCGTTTTGAAATGCAGCCCTACTAAAACATGAAGTGCAGGCTCAACACATTTAATTATATATTTAATGGGATACAAGGCGGCCGGGTGGGCCAGTGGTTAGCGCGTCAACTTCACAGTGCAGAGATCGTGGGTTCGATCCCGGCTCCGGCCTTCCTGTGTGGAGTTTGTATGTTCTCCCCGTGCCTGTGTGGGTTTTCTCCAGGTACTCCGGTTTCCTCCCACATTCCAAAAACATGCATGGCAAGCTGATTGAAGACTTTAAATTGTCCCTAGGTGTGAGTGTGAGCGCGGCTGGTTGTTCGTCTCTGTGTGCCCTGCGATTGGCTGGCAACCGGTTCTGGGTGTCCCCCGTCTACTGACCGAAGACCTTGTGAGAATAAAGTGGTTCAGAAAAGGGGGATGGTATTCAAAATACGTAAACCATAAGGCTTTTCAGTAAAGCTGTTCTTGAAATGCAGTCCCTCCCTGTTCCTCTCCTCAGAGAGCAGAGCCTTCTAGGCCCCTCCCTGCATGTGAGAGTTAAAAACAACAACAGAACAATAATTCCCTTAGAAATACATAAAAAGGAGCATGTCAAGGCCATAGACTTAAGTATGAACGGAGTAAAAATGCCTCTAACTCACTGTAGCAAGAAGTGAAGCCACTGGTGGCCATCTTTCATCGCCACTCGCTAAGCGTGCCAAAATTTAATGCATTGATTTCTCCACACAGTTTTCACATTATCTTCTGTCTCTAGGGTGAAAAATGTGTGGCATACAGTTTTACCAATAAGTCTGGGAGAAGTGCACATTTTTGTAAGAATGTGATTATAAATGTTCTCTTGTAAGATCAATCTCCCAAAGGTGAGTGCTACAGAAGTAGGATGCCCTACAAGCCTCTGGCGGGCCTTCCGGCAAGCGCCCAGTGCAGTCCACCCGAGCTGCTATGAGGCAACTTGGTTGATCCTGCCAGTAACATTTAGATTTCTGTAAACCATGCTTGTTTAAGTACCGGTACACACGTCTCCGTACGCGAAACTTGTAACCTTTTAAGCCTTTGTGTGATCGCAAGGCCTCACCATTGTAGTTCTCCCCATCCTCCGCCGCCATTGTTGTAAATAGCGCTCCTGGCACTTGATAGGGATCTGTAACATTCAAGCTGTCCAACTAGCACATGTATCTCATGATGTTTTTTTCATCACTGTGAATTCACTTTGACAGAATGTTGATTGACAAACGCTAATTTTGTCACTGCTTTTAAATCCTGAAATGCTTTGTTTTAATGTTTTATTTTTCATATTTACAATACTCAATACTAATGATCATGACTTTTTTATATTATTTTATTTTATTTTTTACAAACTGTAGCTCTCCCTGTGTCTTTGGCATTCAACATTGACACCACAAATCCCAAAGTCTACAATGGCGATCAAAAAGCTTTCTTTGGATACAAAGTGCTTCAGTATGTGTCTGGCTCCAAGAAGGGGTATGCTTGAGTTTCTTCTTCTGCTTTTAATTTCAAATATTTTTGTAGTTTTCTTGACTGACGCTTGTTATTTAAGACATCAATATTTGAAAGAGAACATTTCACCGGCATCGCACTTTAACTAATTGAGATTAACATCCATATGGGTGTTTTCTCTAATCCTCAGGATACTTGTCACTGCACCGCTTCAGAATAATGGAACTGGGGCAGTATGCAAACCAGATCACAGCCAAACTATCAAGTGCTTCAACCCACAAGGTACAGTCTGCAAAGAATATAAAGCCTTGGAGTCCCGAGCTTGCAAAAAATATAATATGAAAGTTTTAATATGCAGAAAAAAATAAATATAGACTAGTACTCAGAACACACCTATTCTGAAGCTAAAAAAAAAAAAGTCGAAAGTATCTCTGTTTTTTTTTTTTTTTATCCAATCACAATGTGGCAAGCTGCAGTTTCTGCAATCAGCAGCCTGTTCCTGGACAAAGAGCCTTTCATTGTTATCCAAATAGCAGAAATTGGGGAAACATTTTCTGACAAAAATGAACTATGTTTGTATATTTGACTTTCTAGTTCAATGATCCATTTGAGGGACAGGACTGTCCCAGTACAATTCCTCAAAATGCGGAATGGTCTCAAACACCCAAACATAAAATCAATAATGATAGTCAGATATTTATTCATCTTAAAACTAAACGCTTGGTGTTCTATTTTAAATACTGTTTCCTCCCGCATTCCAAAAAGATGCATTGCAGGTTATTGGAACACTCTAAATTGTCCCTAGATTTGAATGTGAGTGAGAATGGTTTGTTTGCGTGCCCCCTGTGAGTGGCTGGAACCCAGTTCAGGTTGTACCCAGCCTACTCCCCAAAGAAAGCTGGGACAGGTTCCAGCACACCCACGACCCTCGTGAGTATCAGTGGATTAGAAAATGGATGGATGGATGGATGGATGGATGGATGGATGGATGGATGGATGGATGGATGGATGGATGGACAGCAAAGCGCAAGAGGTGGGAGTCACCATAGTTTTTGTGTAATCTCATCTTCACACATGTGCATATGGCAGAGGTAATAATAGTACCACTGAAATGTTATTGTCACAGGACTCTCATTTGAAGACAAAGGCATAGAAGTCAAGCATCTTGGACTGTCTATAGCTGAAGACACGATACACTCCCAGTTCACTGTAAGGATACCAAAAAATATTTGACTTTTGCCATATTAATGCCATGCAATTGTCTTTTTCATTTAATGAATGAATATACTGTAAATGCTCACATTTTGTCATGCCCAAATAATATTTCTTGCTTCTTGCATCTTTCTCCTCATGTTTTATTTTTTTACTGTTCTCTTTTTTTGTTATATCTCAAAACACATGTTATTGTCTTTTTCTTTGAATAATGAAATTAATGGAATTGAATTTTGCTTCACCTAGTCAGCACACGCTTTCAGAATATCGTGTAACTCATTTCGGTCTCTGCAAATAATGAAGCTCACACACATTACTACAGGCCAGTGGTTCTTAACCTTGTTAGAGGTACCAAACCCAACCAGTTTATATGCACATTCACTGAACCTTTCATTCGTAAAAAACAAAAATATGACTTTTTACAAATTCAAAACATAAAAAACGCATTTATTAAAAATAGGAAAAAAGTACCGGTAAATAAAATTTCAAGACATAAGTATGAGGTTTTTTTTTTTCATTTTAGGATGTACTATCACGACAGTCACACGTTGACTACTGAGCGAACTAAATTTCCCACAGCAATGATTGGACAAGCAATGTACCGGTAATGTGATCATGTGCAGCCAGTGGTGGCCAAGCAGGCGTGTCATAAATAATTGACATGGTGAGTCCGGTATGTCTTAACCTCCATGGCAGAGGCTGCATCGAACCCCTGAGACCGATTCACCGAACCCCTGGGGTTCGATCGAACCCAGGTTAAGAACCACTGCTATAGGCTTCATGTTTCTTTACATGGATCACAAGTGTGTACCAAATGTTTTTTTTTTAATTGCTCTAAATATAATCTAGCCACAAAATTTGTTGAGATTATATTTATATTTTGGATCTAATCTTTCCCAGGTTTGCAGCCCCTATGTAGCTCACGAATGTTATGATAACTCCTACCTGAACAGTGTGTGCTACAAGATGACAGATGATCTACAGGAAATCACCTCTTTCAAACCGATTTTTCAAGGTAAAAGATGTTAAATGTTAAATCGCTAAATATTTCAAATAAAAGCTGAAGTCCTATTGTCCCCTCGTGTTACATCTTTGTTTCCTGCGAGCAATTAATACATTCTCCACATAGAATGCAGAAAGAAGACTGTAGATCTCGTCTTCCTCTTTGATGGGTCAAGGAGTATGGATGAAGAAGACTTTGAAAAAAATAAAGATTTCATACTGGATATCATGAACAGCCTCAAAAACACATCGATCAAGGTCAGTGGCACAACGACGGAGTTGTGATGTTTGCAGTTGAATTAATCCACGCCTGCCTGAACAGTCACTTTATAATGATGAAGGGGTTTGTCCATCCCAAGGATCCAAGGAGCTTAGTGTCTGGGGCATTATGCCCCTGTCACTGTCACTTATGGCAAAAGGGTCTTAAGTGAGGGACCAGAAAAAGCATGGCTCAAAAGACCTCCATAAACAGCAAAATGAATGGACACAATTTTCTCTCGCCCAAACATGGGTCAGTGGAGCTCCTTTGGAGGCAGGCCAGGAGCTGGGGCTTGAAGACAAGCGCCTGTAAGTAGAAGCTATAGCATCATGAGGCCCGGCTGGGCTCATCACCTGAGAAAGGGACCGTAAAATCGGGTGCAATGTGATCTGGGTCGCAGCCTTAGGCAAAAACCTTGGCAGTCGGATCCCCAGCTACAGAAACTGGCACTTGTGGATTTGGAGTGTGCTCTGTGATCTGGCAGGCAAGGAGCCCGAGCTGGTGTTTGAGCTCGAGAAGTTCTGACGAGACATAGCGAGGCTCGCCTCAACACACAGCTTGGGCTCTGGTACTAGGTCTCTTGAGAGGGGTTGGACTCTTCCAATCTGGAGTTGCCCATGGAGAAAGGCGTCAGTCAGGTTTGGGCATACTTATTGCCGCCTGGCCCGGTGCCTGTACATTGGGGTTCACCTCAGTGGACAAGAGGGTAGCCTCCCTTCGGCTTTGGATGGGTGGACAGGTCCTGATTTTTGCTTGTGCTTTTGCATCAAGCAGCAGTTCAGAGTATCCACCCTTAATGGAGTCCTTAGAAGAGGTGCTGGAGAGCGTTCCTTCTAGGACTCCATTGTTCTGCTGGGGGACTTCAACGCTCTCATGGACAATGGAAGGAGGGGGCTGTCTTTCCAAGGGCACGATTGGAAAGACAGCCCCCTCCTTGCCTTGACCAGAACCGGAATGGGGTTCTGTTATTAGACTTAGGTGCTTGCCATGGATCGTCCATAACAAACATCATGTTCAAACATAAGGGTGTCCATATGTGCACTTGGCACCAGGACACCCTCGGGAGCAGTTTGATGATCGACTTTGTGGTTGTGTCATCTAACTTGCTGCCGCAAGTCTTAGACACTTGGGTGAAGAGGGGCAGAGCCGTCAGCTGATCACCACATGGTGGTGTGTTGGCTCCAATGGTGGGGGAAGATGCCACTCTGGCCAGGCACACTAAACATGTTCTGAGGGTCTGGTGGGTCCCCTCTCAGAAGGAGTTGAAATTCCCACCTCCTGGAAGAACTTCACTCATGTCCCACGGGATGCGAGGGGCATTGAGTCCGAGTAGACCATGGTCTGCTCCTCCAGAGAAAAAAAATCCGCTTTATTCTCACAAGGGTCGTGGGGGGTGCTGGAGCCGATCCTAGCTGACTTCGGGCAGTAGGCGGGGGACACCCTGAATCGGTTGCCAGCCAAGCGCAGGGCACACAGATGAACAACCATCTGTGGTCACACTCGCACCTAGGATAATTTAGACTGGTCAACCAGCCTGCCATGCAGGTTTTTGGAATGTGGGATGAAACCGGAGTACCCAGAGAAAACCCACGCAGGCCCGGGGAGAACATGCAAACTCCACACAGGAAGGCCGGAGCCTTTCATTGAACCCACGACCTCTGCACTATGAGGTCCACGCGCTAACCACTGGACCACCGGGCCGCCCGTTTAAAGATATGATAGAATAATTACAAACGTGAGGTGTTGTACTTACTTTTGAAAGAAACGGAATAAGAATGGATCTGATCTTTCTCCCTTGAATTCCCCTCCGAGCCTGCCTTTCTCACACCCAGCCACTGGCTGTATTCAAAAAAACTGCTTTCAATAAACAATTTGATTTGCGCAGTCTTGCTATGTGGGACGAGTCACAATGCATACAATTGGTCCCTGTGTTTTAATATACAGTACTGTACTACTAGAAAAGATGCGAGATCACCCAAAATGTTTACAGGCATTCACCCCAAAAAAATCTCATCTAATTGTGGCCACATGGTTCAGTGGTAGCGCGGTCGACTTCTCCAACCCAGAGGTTGTGGGTTTGACCCCCTGACCGTGATCTTCTCAAAGTGTCCTTGAGCAAGATACTCAAGGACACAGGGTGTTCCAATGCCAGTTGCTCCTGATGCTGCGTCATCAGTTGGTGAATGGGGATTCAGTGTGAACCGCTTTGACCGCCTTGTAGGTGGAAAAGTGCTCCAAAAATGAAAGCCTATTCACCACTTACCAATAATTGCTCTGTGTCAGGAAGGCGCCTCGGCCCTCCAACTGAGGTCCTCCGCTTTAGATGCTCACAGTGCTAAGGTCTTACGAGACCATGATGGCGGTTTGAATATCAAGTTTGATTTGGAGGCGTATTTGTCCAACTTGTGCAATGTTTGAGTTGTTTGACTTTCTGTAGGTTCCACTGTATATTTAACATTTGAACGCTCATTGTATGTTTTTCAGTTTGCAGCAGTTCAGTTCGCCACATCTCATAGAACAGTCTTTGATTTTACTGACTATCAAAGTGGGCGTGCGCGCCAAAAACTGAGAGAGGAACGTCATATGGTGACCCTCACCAACACCCACCAAGCCCTCAAATTTGTATTGTAAGTGATATGAAGACAATTTTCAACCAAACTTGAGAACCATTGTTTTTCATCTTTCATCTTTTTTCATCTAATAATTATGAAATGTTTTGCGTTGAGTTTTGAAGGAAAAATGAATAGATTCTGTTTTGGGGGGAGGCTGTAACTTAACAAAACATGGAAAAAAACTGAACGGCTGTGAAATACTTTCCTCATGCACCGTATGTAGTCTAAGCGGTGAGGAAAGACTTTGTAGATGGTTTGAATTTGAGCAGATGATGCAGAGGACAAGGAGAGCTAGGAGAGGATCATTCGCTGAGGTGATCCCTGAACAGGATTAAATCAAAATGGAAAAAGAAAATAATAATAATCACATATTAATATTCATTAATTTTCAACAAGTTCACAAATAATATTCTTTCATGAATTTTGAAACTTTTTTTTTGGGCCCCAACAGGACAAACCTCTTTGAGAATCAAGATGCAGGTGCCTCATCCGATGCAATGAAAGTTCTGGTCCTGATCACAGATGGAGATCCGAGTGACACTGATGAAGATGCAAATATGATTATCAACACCTACATCGAAAAACGCATCATTCGGTTTGTCATCGGGGTGAGGAAAATTCCTTTTATTATTGAAAACATTTACTCCTCGACTGAACAACCTCATCCCAAATTTGAACTAAAATTGGAATTTGGAAGGTGAATTGAGTTAAATTATATACAGAAATCAGTTCTAATCTCTTTGTTGTGGTTTCAGGTGAAAATTGAGAACTTAAATGAATTAAAGATGATTGCTTCAGACCCAAAAGACAAATATGCCTTTAAAATTGAGAATTACCAGGGGCTCACAGGATTACTGGAAAACTTTCAAAAACACATCTTTAACATAGAAGGAGACACCAAAGTGGCTCGGGCACAAGACATGACCAATGAAATGTCTCAGAGAGGATTCAGTGCTGCATTCTACAAGGTAAACAACATCTGTTCGCCCAAATGTTTTTGAATGGTAATATGTGTTCTATGTGCACAAACTAGTCTAAACATGGTATTCCGATTAATATTGCATTTGTGACATATGAATTAAGCATCTCTGGGACCGCTATTTTGACTTGATACTTTATTCATGATGCTCGTGACGGAAAATAATATCAGTGTGCATCAGGGCTCCGCTTGCGAATGTCAGCATGACCAAACTCAGAAAACAGGTGAGGGTGACGCTCCTGACCTGGGCCCTTTGGCACTGTGATGTTATTTTAAGTCGACAGCATGTGGCTGTAAGTAACATTTGAGGCCCTATTTTCGTTCCGGGCGCACGACTAGAGCAAAGCGCAGTCTACCCGTGTGCGTGGGTGGAGATTCTTTTCTTTTGGTGTTTTGCTAGGTTTTGCGTGGGTAAATATTTTGTGCCTTTCTGAGTCATTGTGGGATGGAACATGATGTTTTCCCAGCGAATCCTCGCAGCATCTCTCATTTACATTAAAATCAGGGCGGTCGAAGCGCAAATAAGTATGCCGTGCTTGAACATTGCAGAAACTGAAATTGTACTCGCCGGAGTTCGTGTGTGACGGCAATATCTTTACTTTCAGGATAATGTATTTGGCTGTGAGTGTAAAACGTGGGAAATTGGAAACTTCTTTGCACCTCCCGATCGTGCGTCCTTCGATTAAATACACCGAAATCACCACCTGTGCCGCAAAATAGACCATCTTTCGACACCAAATTGCGAAAGTGGGGCGTAGCGTGTCTACCAAATTCACAAACTGAACTAGACCATTGTCCCGGCACGAAAATAACGATGCACCCATTTTTACGTCAGGCGCAGACTATTTTCTGTCACCAAATTATCAGGTGTGTCAGGGGTGAGGCTGCTTAGTGCGGCAGCATGAGCAGACAAACGCAACACGGCCCCAAGCACGCTCGACTAGATTCAACATGCGACGGAAATGACGTCAACACCCGTTTTTAACGCCAAGCGCACTGGCGCCACTCCACCAAAATAAGGCCCATCATGTCATTTTTGTTGTCCCGCGAGAGATTTTTGGGGGTTGCCATTCAAGCATGACCTGCTCCAAAGTGAAATATAATGCTTTGATTCCCATTCACAGGACATTTTGATTCTGGGTTCAGTGGGCTCAAACAGCTGGCGTGGTGCTCTGTATGAGCGTCAAGATCAAACTGAGACACAGATTGAAGATTCACAAATGCAGATGGACTCTTACATGGGTATCATTTCTTTTTTTTAATCCTTTATTAGTATTCAAATAAGACACATCAGCGGCCACGTGTGCTTCGAAACCTCCTGACATCCTTTTGTAGTGGGACCTTCATAATCACAATCCAATTCAACACGCCTCAACCACTGTTGTTCTTTTCACCCCCCACCAACACAATATAAAACATAATGCTCCTGGCGCATGTGGTTACGACGGCTATATCACAGTCAAGAAGTTCTGGATTTGAATCTGCTCCGGTCTTTCTCCATGCATCTAAGTGAGAACAACCATCCAGGGTGTACCTTGCCCAGCTCTTCCATGACCTTGAACAGGATAATTAGAAGAAAATGAATCAATACTGTAATTTCTATTTCTAGGGTCACACTATATACAATAAAACATTTGTTAAGTGTTTGAATACGCGGTACATGTTAAAATTCTTAACTGTCATATAAGTGTACAATAAATCAAACAGAACAGCAATAAAATTCACCACACATTGATGACCTGTGCCATATACAGTATATTGCAAGCATTGCAGTCAGAAGCCGGAAGCTTGCCTTTCTTTTTCAACGTTTGCATTTGTCATAACTTGAGACGACATAAGTGTATGAATAAATAAATTAATAGCTGTACAGTAAAGTAAAAAAAAAAACCAAAAAAAAAACATTCTGAACTTCACATTAACTTGAGGATGTGTAAAGTAGCAGATCCAGTGGCGGGCCGTGCATTTCAACCTTAGGCCTTCAGTGACGTCACATACATTAACACAATATAGGCTCGTCAAGCAGCACTTAATTTCAGGAGCATTTAAAACCATCAAGTATGCATTCACAATTAAGAGCAGGAAACTAAATTTACAGATATTGTCAAAAATAAAAAGATGATTGAAAAATACGAAATAAAATGCCACCCAAATTACGCTGTGTGATCTTAAACAAGTCTGTCCAATAAATTGCGCAATGTCGCAGTTTCATATAAGACACCAACCAAACAATAATAAAACAAACTACCGGTATTCTTTGAAAATAAAGTTAACAGATCATTTGCATTTTGAGAATAGGCTATACAACAGCAAATAACTGAAAATGTTGAGCAGCTGAGATTGAACGAACTTTCGTGCACGAAGGTGACTACAATGCGCCATTATAAATTCTAGGTGAGCAGATTTATTTGATACATTTTTGTATCTTTGTCATTTTATTTCGCCACGGGTACCGTTCATAATTGCTCGGCTGTAAATGACGGACAAACCATTTTCCTTGCTGGGACAGGCTAGCGAGCGCAGGAGTTGGGCGACCTCTTCGCAAAATATCCAGCTTTTCGTGGAAGGCCCGTCTTGAAAATGGAGTGGAAAGTAGTTCTGCAACCAGATCAACGTCTTCTCCTTCGGCCATTATGGGTTAAAATGCAGTGATAGCTCTAGCAGGTGCTAATCCAATCACCGAACGCGCACGTCCAGTCTCAGCGTAAGGCCTTCCAGCTGGCCCTGGTACGCAGACTCGTGATCTGATTGGCTATTGCAACCTGACTGTGCCCATTCACTTACAGCGCGCAGGGGCCTGCTCTGTTTAATCTGAAGGCCCCGAGCAAGTTTAATTTATCTGGCAACACAAGCTAGCTGAAATATGATTGGTTAAAAACTCTACTATAATAAATATGGCGTAAAGAATACAGAGAATAATTTTGTTTACATATTTATGACAATAAAATAACAAATTAAATTTATGTTTTGGTGATTAAATTTACTTTTCTGAGTATGTTTAGGCCAGCAGAGAAGCCCTTGCTGGCCCTGACGGTTCGCAACTGAGCAGATCCAGTGGCAAACACACACCAGGAGATGCATATTTTACCAGAGCAACCTTTGCAATGCGTATTCCAATTTTTTTTTTTTTTATTAATGCTGTGAACTAATCGTCACATTAGGAGGAGAAAGACATATATGCCGTTTTTCTGGGTTGTTAGGTTTCAGTTCAATGTCAGTTTCTTTTCCTCTTTCCAATAACTAGTACCCTTCTGTTTCACATCACCAAATATTTTCACAAGTCCTCTAAGGTTTGTCAACATAATGCACAGTTTTGGGGGAATTTTTTTCTCCATCATTTTTTTCTTGAATTTTCGCATTTCACTTTGACGGTTTCGTTGTATACTCTCAATACTGCGTTGAAACAAGTCTACATAAAACTATAATAAATAGATGCTTGGGGGGGCATTGAAATTTATCAATCACATAACTGGCAACAGTTTGGTGCATGTGGTTAGCATCATGCTTGAAGTATGAACGTTTGAGTCATAGATTTGAATCTCAACTTGGACCATACAAAATTAGCATGTATTTTATACCACATATTTTTTGAAGTTGTCGCCATGTGTCGGCCATGTGATTGACTGGTAATGAATTCATGGTGTATCTCGCCTCTGACCCTAATATTCGATCCGATTTCTCTGTGACCCTGAACAAGATAAGCAGATTTAAAAAGTAGAACTACTTCAGTGAATAAGAATTTAGCTGTAAACCAAATCAACATACATATTTATTGCATTCAAAGCTTTAGACGCCATTCCAGTGACGTATAACCTCTAAAGTGCATTTTCTTGCAGGATATTCGGTTTCTGTGGGACAGGTGAACGGGGTTCCTCTATATTTCACTGGTGCACCAAGATTTGAGCATGTAGGACAAATTGTAGTCTTCACTCACACCGGGAACAACTGGAATGTCGCCCAAAGAATAAATGGGGAGCAGGTCGGTAAAGTTCATACAATGTATTGTACTAAGTCATGTATTATGCATAAAATCCCTACTGACATTTTTTGAAATACACATAAGTTGCCGTTAACATCTTGGGCCCAGCCCAATTCTAACACAAAGCACAGCCTAATTGTCCGCATGGGTGGAGTTTTCTTTCTTTTGATATTTTGCTAGACTTTGCACAGTTAGAATTGAGCGCAACAGGGTGTTTGCGCCTTTGTACACCATTGTGGGATATAAGTCATCTGTTCAAGTCCAATCCTAGAAAGCATTCCTCTTTAAAAAAAAAAAAAACATGCCATTTCAGGTGCAGTGTACCCTAGTACGCTATGCTTTACATTGTCGAAACAGAAATAGACTCACTGGGGTCCATTTATGTCATTGGCAGGTAAACTGCAAGCTCTCCCCTTGCGGATGATGTAGCTGTCGGTGCATTAAAATACCCGCAGCGTTTTATTATGTATAAAGAAAAGTAACAGTATGAACAATCGAAATTAAATGTTTGTTCCTCACAATCCTCAGATTGGTTCCTATTTTGGGGCAGACCTTTGTACCTTAGACGTGGACTCCGATGGTAACAGTGACTTTCTCTTGGTGGGAGCACCCCTGTTTTACCACGCTCAGGAAAAATCTGAGGGACAGATCTACATCTACAGGCTGACTGATGAGGTGGGCCGGAATGAGAACTGAATGGGATACTAGGAAATAATGAATGAATGAATGAAAATGCTTAAGCGGTTGTTTTCTGCAGATGCTGCTGAAAAGTGAAATAAATGTTAGCCAACTGTCCATGGGGAGATTTGGCACTAGCATAGCCAGCCTTGCAGACCTGAATGGAGACGGGCTGCGAGATGTTGCAGTTGGGGCCCCTCTTGAGGATGCTAATGCAGGGGCAGTGTACATCTACTTCGGTGACAGACACCAAGGGATGCGCAGTGTTTATAGTCAGGTGAGACATCTGGTATTACAACGTAACTTGAATGGACTTGGTGACTGGTTATTCCAAGTCAAAGAACTTGGGGTGCAATAATACACAAAATTTGCGGTTCACTTTCATGTCACGGTTCGATACTTGATACAAATTTTTTTTTTAATTAAAATTAATTTTTTTTTAAATAAATTTTAAAACAATTTATTTTAATTGTAAAATTTTCATGCTTTTACGAATTGAGTTTTATACTTAGCAAAGAGTTTGTCTGAAATTCCAAATTTTTAAACATTTTGTCAAGAACATTAGTGCGGGACAGTTGCAGTATATTATATGATAGGAGAATTATAATTCTGCATACCATTCAATTGCACACAACCATTTTAAATAAACATATGTCTTATTTATGTATTTATATACCTATTATCTGCTTAGATTTGTTATTAGATTCCATGACATTATAGCGTATAGTGCTTGTATTTATTATTTTAGTCAAATGATGTCATGTATATATTAAAAAGTAGAGATTAACACAAGGGAAGCTTATGTGGGCCGTGACTGTCCGTAGTGGGTTGAGAGGCCTTCATGAATAGCGATGGCCCTGGGCTGAGCCAGCGATGATGTCACCAGCAGTCTGGCGGGCAGCCAAAGTTTGATTTTTGCTTTTATAAAAAAGGCAGCTCATAGCTGTGAGGACTGACATGTGGTGCTGAGAGAGGCTTCCTGGCAGCCACAGCACCAGGATTTTTTCCTTACGTGGTGCTAAGAGAGGGCTTGATCGATATGTGAAGGAGCTAAGAAAAAAAAACAAACAACAAAAAACGATTTTCATGACTTCACTTGAGAGGTTCTCTCCATTTTTTTCAATAAAAGTATTATACACACCACAAGGGAAGCGTGGAATTCCCAATGTGGAGTAAACATTTTTCGCTGAAAAACTTGTTCCAATGTATGTACGTTAGAACATGTTGCTAAAATGCTAGGTTAAATGCTAAAAACAGCCTTTATTCCCCATAATGCCACGGAGGATTGACTTGCGCATGCGCAAGTAAAAGAAAATGCTATGTTTTTAGCATTTGGCCAACATTACCACGATGTTGAAAATCGAAGTCAACATTTTTTAATTACTATTTTTTATTTTATTTATTTCTTATTTTTTAAAATTATGTCTGAAGCTATGTTTTCTGTTCGGCATTTTTTTCCCATAATGCCACGGAACTTGCGCATATCATTGGCTATTGAATACCCCCTCCCCCGGCATTATTGGATAAAATACTATGTCTACAGCATTCAGCCTAATTTTTGTCAATACGTTCAAACGTGTACTGTAACTGAACACGCACGTAACTGAAAGACTCCCCCTGCCCCTCCCTGCCCTCACAAACACACACGGGGTCAAGCTGCAGCATAAACACGGAAACAGGAAATGTATTGGGACACAATGGCTACTTACTTGGGGAATTTCAATTGTTGATGTATTTATGTATTTATTCATTTATTTAAACTTCAATAGATAAATCATTTGTGGGGGTGGGGCTGAGGCAATAGCACCCCCAGCCCCATTGTAGCACCATGCATGCTCCCTGGGTCTTTCTTGATCGATTATGTGAGACCAAGGCCGGTTTTGGCATTTCCGCTCCGCATTCCCCTCCCTCTCCCACACAGTGGCGGTTCTGGATCAATTTCACTGAGGGGGCCGGGCTGGGGCAAGGGGTTTTGATGGAGGGGCACATTCAACCCAGGGCTAAAAAGACAGATTCGAAATCCTATTTGACTTTTTATTTCATCAAACTTTGAAATCGTTGTTGTCATAACATTACAGTGATGAGAAAAAAAAACAGTATTAGGAGGGCTAAAATGTCTGCAAGCGTAACAATACGCCGAGTCCATCTGTTGAGAATATTGAAGCCAGGGGTGGATATGGTACCAGCCTGCCTTGAAGCTCCTTCTCCTGTCCCCCATCAAGGTACTGGGAAACTGTTTTAGGTCTGGTTGCATTGGCGGGTCCTCTTTACATCTACTGATGTCTGTGGACAAAGAAACCAAATAAATGTAAACACAAGTGCTGCATGGACACAGCATATACACTAACCCGCTACACTTACAATGCTGAGGCACTCAGACATACACAAGTGTCTAAAATGTATTGATTGATGCTATTTATTAATTATATTAATTATTTTTTTATTGTATTCAATAAATATAAATTAATACATTTTCAAGCCTGACCAGGGACTAAAATTGCAAATACACCGAAGCTTGTTGTTTTACATGCATATAATTATCCACATTTTAAAAGGCAATGTCTTATATATTGTTCCTGTTAAATAAAAATTAAAATAAAAAGGGATACTAAAAAAAGTTACACACACACACACACACACGCACACACACACACACACACACACACGCACGCACGCACGCGCGCATACACGCACGCACCCACACACACACACACACACACACACACACACACACAGAACAGGATAGTGTTCTTTTCAGCATCACATACCTGATGGTCCAGTGCTTGTGGAAGCACAAATATCCTCTTGTCTGTGTCTCACACTCCACTTCTATTGCAGTCTCATCTTCCTCATTCTCAGGATCTTCATTTGTATCCTATTCCTGCTCTGTGTCCTCGCACTGAAAATGAATCCCGTGTCCTCTGACTCTCCTCTTCAGATCTCTCACCACCATCATCATCTGACTCTCTCTCTGTGTCTGGATCAATGTGTTTCTTTTTCATATAGAAATATGATGTAATGTCAGTTTTTCTTTTCATTTTTAACGTTAAATGTTTAAGTGAAGAGGAATTAGACTTAAAAATGCTACTGTTGGGGGCTTGTTTCGTTTTGTGATTTTAAAAGAATAATAGCGGGTGAGCAGCGGCAGGCAGACGCATGATGTAATGTCCGCTTTTCTTTTCATTTTTAACGTTAAATGTTTAAGTGAAGAGGAATTAGAAGTAATAATGCTACTGTTGGGGGCTTGTTTCGTTTTGTGATTTTACATCAAAAATATCAATTGTGTCGTGTCGAAAATAGCACTCGTGTCGTGGTAATCTGCTTCTCTGCGGACTGCTTCTCATTTTCCCGCTCATTTTTAAGTGGTGCAGCGCACTAAAGGGTCCGACTAGAATGTTAAGCCACGCACTTTGGTTCTACCTTTCGCGTTGGCGACTCGGCACTCCTGCGTAATTTACGTTCGGAGGGGGGGCAGAATCAGTGCTACAGGGGCACTGGCCCCCGTTGCCCCCCCCCCAGAACCGCCACTGCTCCCACACCTGTTTGCAACTCATGATTCCGCACTCAAAGACGAGCACAGTTCAGCATTTTACATTTTGAAACAGCAGTGTAGCATGGACACTATGAATGTAAGTTAATTGTCAAAGAACGCTGCGTGCATAACATCCCCGTGTCTGCAATTGGCATGATGTCAAACATAGAAACTAGTTTTACTCCTTTTGAACCTATTGCAGCAATTTGATGTATGACCTTTCTTTTTTCAGTTTCAATTAGTGGGCGTAACAATTAGGTCTGTTGATAATGAACCACAATGCGGCTCTCAAAGTGGAACTGATCAAAGAAAAAAAAAGTGTTTTCATACACTGCACATCAAACCCGAACCACTGTATCGAGCGAGTCAATACGATACAATATATACAATACACGATATAATGTTGATTTAAGCCTACTGTAGTATTAAATGGTTCGAGATACATGTATTGTTGCACCCCCCTCTGCAACTTCCTGACATGTTTCTTGTACAGTGTCACTCCACCATCTCTTAATTATGAAGGTTTGATACACCACCCTTGAAATACAATGACTGGTCACACCATTCGGTACACTTGCCCAATCCAACAGTGAAATTCAGAGCAGGCGCAATATGATGAGTAATGTGTTATTTCTATTGTTCTTGCCACTGTAGTTTGCAGTAGTATAGAAACACACTGCATCATACATAAGTAACCACATGTATGATGCAAGCATACATGAGTACAATCATCATTCAATGATTTTGAGCTCAAGCCACAAACATAGTTTTCTTTTAAGCTTTAATTAATGCTGCTCTGACAGTGTCGCTCCAATTTTGCGTTATGATTGTAAAGGTAGAATCAGCTGTTGTATTGGATCTCTATGTTGCTAATGCTGTGGCCAATGAGTGTACAGGCCATAGACATACCAGAGATTTATCTGCCAATCCAGAGAATCACGGGACGAGAAGTAAAACATGGCATCAGATTCTTTGGACAGGACATAAATGGAAACATAGACCTGGAAGATGACGCACTACCAGACATAGTAGTTGGATCCTATGGCGCAGCTATTGTCTTAAGGTATGATGAATATTCTGTACTGTATGTACTATGATAACCCGTATAACTATACCAACAACATGTCTTATTTTTCAAATGCATAATTATTCTGTCAATCATCAGCCAAAGTGGTCATTAATATCCGGTATACTCCCTCAATATACAGTACTGTACAGTATATACTGTACATATCGCTGGTGTTGGGCCGAATCCTGACTTGTTCCTCCAAAATCATTTTTTCAGGAGAACTCAAAAACAGCATGTATGCTCATCCAATAACATTGCATCGTCCAAGAGAGTGAGCCTTTCGCAACACTTTAGTTTGGTGAATACATTCTAACGTGGATTGACCAGAAATGTCTATAGACTTGTGAAAACAAAATGAAATTTACCAAATTGTGACATTGGAGGCCCAATGCCAGCGATGTACTATATATATTCAAACAGCAGAAAAATAAATAAAGATCACTTCCCATTAGGAATGTACAGTATGTGAAGTTCTTACTTAAGTGCCTGGAAACAAAATTATTTTATGAGAGGATGACGCAACATCTCAATGACAGAAGTTCAAAAGTTAACTCAGTGAAGCGGAAAACCACATCCTGTCGGGTATCAACAGAAAGCTCGGGATTCTCTGCCGCCTCAAATTTAATTTAAAGCTACGCCATTACACGTAGGCCGCTATACAATCTATTGCAAAACAACCTTGTTTTATCACATGTACTGGACATGCTGACGTTCCACAGTCTGTCTAATATATTTAACGAAATATTTACCGGTAGTCTTTTTGCCTGGTCAGAAGAATGACTCGGCACGGCAGAGTCAAGAAAGTACATTATTGTACTGCCACTGCCAGCATGTGGAGACACATGGAAGAAGCGCAGCGGTCTTCCCATGAACATACTGTACATTGCCACAAAAGCACGAATCAGCTGATTGAGAACTCGCAGACCTCTTAAGCCATCTTTAACCTGGAGTCCTGTGCGATCATTCCCTTTCGCTTTTATTGAAGCAACTGCCTCCAATAATTTCATCATAAATGGTCAAATCATTTCCCAATTTCAACATGAATTGGTTTGTTAGAAACATCAGACGGTTATGAGGCCAGACATGTTTGGTAATTGTATCGTCAGGGCTTTCATAAAATAAAGTATGAAACACCAAATGTAAGACCAAATGTGTAAGAGTAATTGTATATAATTTATCGCCCAATGCTTTTCGATGTATAATCAACTTACTAGTGTGACACTGCAACGACTTAATTTACGTACATAGCGTGCAATCAAAGTAGTTTATCATGCTGAAGAGACCAGCTTGTTCCTGTTCACAGCCTTGAAGTGAAGATACCAGCCTCAGGACGCGCGCCAGTTATGCAGCCAACTGCTTGACTCCTCGTCTCTCTTGAGTTTTCAAATTTGCCTCAAGGGTTTGATTGCCTGATAGACCTGACAAAATGCTTTTTTTTTAATTTAAAAGAGAGGTCAGTGACCCAACAACAATGATTTTGATCTTATATTAAATATTCTTTTGTTTTTCTTGCGATCACTATTTTTGAACAGTGTGGAATTAATTGAAGCATAATTAGAAGCTTTGAAAACAAATATTGGTCTTCAAAAATTGTATTGGAATTGAATGAGAAAATGAATGAAACAAATTGAAAGAAAGTACTGTATGCTCATCTTCAAATTTGGGTTCATATTTTTATATCCGATTGCAGAGGAGTAGTGACTCACCAGTCCATGAACCTCACCGCATATTACTGTTCCTGAATGTGAACATTGTTTGTGTCCTTAATACTTTGAAAAGTATCACACTCTAAAATCTCTTTTTTCAATGTTCTCCAGGTCCAAGCCCATTGTTAATGCTTTAGCTCGCCTGTCTTTTCAACCAAAGGAGATAACTCTTGACCAGATTGACTGCTCGGCCAACACAGACACCATCTTACCCATGGTTAACTTAACAGCCTGCTTTGAAATAGTAGAAACAACGAAAAGTAAAGCAGGTAAGAATGATGACCTCAAAAAAGGCAAAACTCCAGCACTAGCTTTGGTGTTGAAATTACTGTACCTATTTTCACAGCAGTCATATTGACATTGTAAACAGCAAATAGAAGGGCAGATAATATGATCAGTCATACAATAAAAATACATGTACATCCAGAAACTACTTTTCACTTAACATTTTAAAGGCGTGGGACATTGGTCAGGGAAGAATCTTTTTCAGGATAAAGGTACAGCTATATTAGTTTATTATTCACATTACCGCAGCATCAACAGAACCGTTTTCCCGACAATGAGGACACCATCTGTTTGCTATCTATCATCATCCATGAATCAAGGCGTAGCTTGCTAACTAACCAACAGCTGGATAAGCATCCCCATTTTTTATTGATGTATTTATTTATTTGCTTGCTTTTGTGGACGTATGCATATCGACTGAGCAACCACAACATTATGATTGATTAGCACAATTTAATCGCTTTGCATCAAATATTCGTCCTTAACAAGCATAACTGTTCAATTTGATTTACACTGTCAGACTAATTCAGGGGTGTCAAACACATTGGGCCACATTCGAGTTACGTCTTCCCTTGGAGGGCCAGCTTGTTCCTGTTCACAGCCTTGAAGTGAAGATACCAGCCTCAGGACGCGCGCCAGTTATGCAGCCAACTGCTTGACTCCTCGTCTCTCTTGAGTTTTCAAATTTGCCTCAAGGGTTTGATTGCCTGATAGACCTGACAAAATGCTTTTTTTTTAATTTAAAAGAGAGGTCAGTGACCCAACAACAATGATTTTGATCTTATATTAAATATTCTTTTGTTTTTCTTGCGATCACTATTTTTGAACAGTGTGGAATTAATTGAAGCATAATTAGAAGCTTTGAAAACAAATATTGGTCTTCAAAAATTGTATTGGAATTGAATGAGAAAATGAATGAAACAAATTGAAAGAAAGTACTGTATGCTCATCTTCAAATTTGGGTTCATATTTTTATATCCGATTGCAGAGGAGTAGTGACTCACCAGTCCATGAACCTCACCGCATATTACTGTTCCTGAATGTGAACATTGTTTGTGTCCTTAATACTTTGAAAAGTATCACACTCTAAAATCTCTTTTTTCAATGTTCTCCAGGTCCAAGCCCATTGTTAATGCTTTAGCTCGCCTGTCTTTTCAACCAAAGGAGATAACTCTTGACCAGATTGACTGCTCGGCCAACACAGACACCATCTTACCCATGGTTAACTTAACAGCCTGCTTTGAAATAGTAGAAACAACGAAAAGTAAAGCAGGTAAGAATGATGACCTCAAAAAAGGCAAAACTCCAGCACTAGCTTTGGTGTTGAAATTACTGTACCTATTTTCACAGCAGTCATATTGACATTGTAAACAGCAAATAGAAGGGCAGATAATATGATCAGTCATACAATAAAAATACATGTACATCCAGAAACTACTTTTCACTTAACATTTTAAAGGCGTGGGACATTGGTCAGGGAAGAATCTTTTTCAGGATAAAGGTACAGCTATATTAGTTTATTATTCACATTACCGCAGCATCAACAGAACCGTTTTCCCGACAATGAGGACACCATCTGTTTGCTATCTATCATCATCCATGAATCAAGGCGTAGCTTGCTAACTAACCAACAGCTGGATAAGCATCCCCATTTTTTATTGATGTATTTATTTATTTGCTTGCTTTTGTGGACGTATGCATATCGACTGAGCAACCACAACATTATGATTGATTAGCACAATTTAATCGCTTTGCATCAAATATTCGTCCTTAACAAGCATAACTGTTCAATTTGATTTACACTGTCAGACTAATTCAGGGGTGTCAAACACATTGGGCCACATTCGAGTTACGTCTTCCCTTGGAGGGCCGTTATGACAGTGAAACCAAATTAATCGTCTCATTGTATTATCACTTGTACACAAATTGATGGATCAGTCAACTAAAGTAAATGTAAACAAGGTGACAAAATTATTGTACAATCTCAATGTTATTTATGAGACATGACATTTTGATATTTCGGTACAGGTTTTAGCAAGGATCATGGAAGTTGACACACATGATTTGCTTTCGCGGGCCACAAGAAATGACGTGCCGGGCCAAATTTGGCTCCCGGGCCTGGAGTTTAACACTTGTGGTCTAAATCATTATTATTGTTGTAGTAGGCAGTGGTGTCGAATGGTACTTCATCATAATGACAATTGTTCCGAATATGTTTTACTATCTGTAGAAAAATAAAAAAAAGAAAAAAATTTAAAAAATCACATAAAGTTAAATATTTTTATCCAAATGTTGGGTCAAATTAACTTCAATTTTGGGCTTCAACGACGAAAACATATGGGTTTTTTTTCAGTCATCTATCCAAATCCTCATTAACCAATATGTTAATTTGAATACAAAATTGTTAAACTGCAAACCGATACCAAAATTTACTATGCTAAATTTGGTCTCTCAAAATATATACCCTATCACAACTTTTCATTAGAATTGATTGTATTTTAATGAATATTTATGCACTCACCTGAAATCAAGAACAAGAAATCCAAATCAATGTAAGATTAGGGTGCGTTCGGAAATTCACTCCAACACCACTAACAACACTCTTTACAATGGTGAGTCCAGAGAGGCAAGAGCGCGCTCCCCTTCCATCAACATCCGAAAGCAGGCTATGTTCCCATCCAATCCATCAATCAATGTGTGACGATAGTTGCTGAGTCTGTGCTTCATTTTGAGGGAAATAAACAATTTATTCAATTTTGGAATAAGTTTCCACCATAAAGTGTGGATAAAGTAAAGTGCTATGAATACTTTGCGGATGCACTGTAATCCTAAAGCATGTCTTCGCAGGAACGATGAAATTAGGACTAAACATTTCGTACATGCTTGATGTGGATCCCATGAGACAATCGCACCGAGGTTTCTTCGCTCAAAGTGACAAGAAATCAAGGAATCTTACACTCACCTATCAACTGCTGGATAAAGACACATGCTTCCTGTACCCCATCCACATGCCAGTATGAACGTATTCATGCAGACACACACACGCATGTTTTGAAAATACTACAAGAAATGAGCATTTGTGGTCTACGATGTTTCAGTTGTTCTTTTTCCCCTGACAGAAATGTGTGAAAGACACCCTGTCACCTATCAGCATCAAATTAAACTTCTCCCAGGTGAACAGTCACCGTGCAGATGCTGTCCTGAATGCAGATGCCAAAACACAAGCTGTTGTTGAGGTGCTAGCTGTGACATCAATGATAAATTGAATGTTTCGGTTTTAGGAGACGCTAATAATATTCCCGAATAATTTTCCGACTATATTTGTAGGTTCCTTTTGAAAGAAAGTGTAAAAAGAATGACACCTGTATTGCTGAAATTGAAGTAAACTTCAAATTCTTGTAAGTACTCTGTATCTTTTGCAAGCACAGCGCAGCAATTTCATGAACATAAAATATACACTGTATCCTTTAGGACTCCGACGTTACTGGTGGCTGAAGAAAATTACTTTAATATCTCCATTACAATAACCAATCATGGTGATGACTCGTACAACACCAGCCTAACGATGCACTACCCGCCAGGACTCTCCTACTCCAGGATGTTTCAGGTTATTACACAGGTAATTCTAAGAAATGAATACACCAATTTCATGATGTTTACCAAGCAACAAAAATAAATAAATAAATAAAAAATAGTGGGTAAAAACGTCCCAAATAAATATGCGGAAGAAATGTGTTACTACTTTTGGCTCACTATTTTTAACTGACAACTTATGCAAGATCACAAAATGTTGTTTTGTTCAATTAACCCTTTCATGCACCCTGTCGCCTGATAACATGATAAACTGTCCACTGTATTAACTGCTGTCCCTGAAAGGGTGAAAGTTAGATATGCACTGATAGCGGCAAAATGAGGACAAACTGACTCTTGTCCCTGTATTTCAAAATACACACTGCACTGCTTGATTTCGAGAAAGTAAAGAATGTTCCTATTTTGTGTTATGACACAGGCCACAAGACGAACGCTCCACAAGTGCGATGATCTGGATGGAGTGACTGACAAAACAATATGTGGCATCAGCCTTCCTGTGTATCGCAGCAAATCAATCGTGAGTTCTGCTGGAAGCCTCATTACATGATTGACCCACATGTCCAACATAATGTCGGTGGGCTCACTTAAACAAGTACCCCGGTGAAACTTTGATTAATGCCTCCTAAAAAGAGAGAGGAGGCTTTCAAGAAAAAAAAGGAGCGGTCTCTTTCATCCTTAATCGTCTAATCATTAACAAGTCTGCTGCACGCCGCGGGATCGATGGCTTGTGTGTGT